GGGTCTTGTTAACTACCCCCCCCCCCCTATTGCAACAGGGGTGAAATAGTTCACAAGGTACAAACTTCGAATACGCTTAACTGATGGGGGGGGGGGGGAGAGTCGTTACAAGGTTTCATGAGGGGGGAGGGGAATAGTTAACAAGATCCAGAGAAAGTTCGTAAAATGGCTTCAGCAGAATAAAAGTTTATAATTTTGGCTATTTCGGCCACCAGTTTTATCTGCTTCGAATTTTAATTAGAAATGCCGGACCATTTAGCAATACTTATTTTGAGCAGTTTAGTGCATAAGACCCAATCAGACGACAGGCCATCAGGACGACAAGACATTGAGACGACAAATAGGAGTTAATAAACATGTAAAATGAGCATAGATAGAATTAAGCGGTTTAAATTTCTCAGAAATACAATGTGCAGAATTGAATGTAGCGTTGTCTTAAAGTCCCATCAAAACGGTTCTCGTCGTCCTAATGTCCCGTCGTCTTGTTTGCCGGTCACCGTTTAACAGAAAGAGCCCAAAAATTGTCGGTTTTCTGCAAAATTCTGCATATATGCAGAAGATAACTTAATTATGCGCCGCAAATTTATGCCATATGCGCTTTGATCCATCAAAAGTTTTGCAAAGAAAGCTAATGATGAAAAGCGAAATTAGAATTATCTGCGAGCTCGTCTCCTTGAAGACAGACAGCCGATATGTTTATGCCTCCAAAATATGCAAAAAAAGTTGGCTCTTTTCCAGTCCCCCCCCCCCCTTTCAAATTTAATTTTGAAAAGCTTCTTTAACGTTGACATAATGCAATGAAATTTGGCGTGGTGAACAAATCGACAACTGTGAACAGATTTGTTCTTCATACTTTACAGCGTAACATCTCGCATTTAGCCGTAATAACACGTAAATCAAACATAAAACTCGGTATTTTGAAAAGGGGGGACTGGAAAAGAGCCAAAAGGTCATCTAGACTGAAAGTGAACTTTTCCAAACTAAAGATTGAATATTTTATTCCAATTTTGTTTTAAAGAACAAAATCTTCCCAGTCCGGGAGTCGAACCCGGGCCTCCTGGGTGAAAGCCAGAAATCCTAACCGCTAGACCAACTGGGATATAAATCAACAAGTGGTTCATTTTATTCGTTCTGAAATGAAACAAACGTATGAATGAACCAAAAGAACTGAAGAGCAATGAATTAATACCAATCAACCAACCATACCACTGACATGTTTTAGAAACCAGAGAAAATGACCAACACAGAGCGATTTGGCTCTAATTTAGAATCAGCTGCGGTCGAAATCGACAACGCTGCGTCAACTTATACACAAGGACTAAAACAATTTGGATCTGCGCAAAAGGAACTCGGGAAATCCGAACGACGATTCGGCCGAGAAGTCGAGAAATGTTGCATTCAGCCGATGAAGAAATTTCTGGCTGAAGATTTGGAAGCGGCTCTTAATGAGAAAAGTGCCCTGGACACTCTTAGACTGGATCTGGATGTGGCTAAAAATAAGGTAGCGAAGGCGAAAGGAATAGTAGATCGAGAGAAAGCTGAGAAAGTGTTGCAGGTTCGTTCTTTAGACCATTTATCCACGAGAAAGGACCAACACAAGAGCTGTACAGCTCATCACGGCGAACCGCTGTTGTGCCCCTGTTTAAGAACTACATGCTATTTTTTTGGTTATTTTTCTTGAATCATTATCGGATTATTAATGCTTCTACTTGTCTGTAATTCGATATTTTGCATTGTACAGCTTGCAGTTAAACGCATTCGGCCAATCAGATTGGACCAACCAGATTGTGTTGTTAGGCACCGTGACACTATGAATTATAGTTGGTCAATTAGCCGACAAATCGCGTATCATTACATGATATCTTATAGGCGATGAATTACAACCAATAACCAAAATCAGGGTGGCTATTTTCTAGTCCCCACTTTAATTTTTTCTAAAATTCAATATTTGAAAGCCTACTCGGCTCTTTTCCAGTCCCCCCTTCAAAATAACGAGTTTTATATTTGTTTTACGTGTTATTACGGCTAAATGCGTGATGTTACGCTGTAAAGTATGAAGAGCAAATCTGTTCAGAATTGTCGATTTGTTCACCACGCCAAATTTCATTGCATTGTGAAAGGGGGAACTGGAAAAGAGCCACAAACTGCCATATGAACAGTTTCTAAACAATTTATGTTGTAGTTTTACGAGGGGGTGGAAAACTGTAAGGGGAAATGGCTTTTTTTCCTTTCCCCATACCTGCAAATTTTTACACGTAAACTTGTTGACCACATTGTCCGATTAATATGAATATATGAGGTGGGGGTGGGGGGGTGAGAAAAGCCTTAAGGAAAAGCCATGGCTCTTTTTCCTCTCCCCCCCCCCCCCACACCTCACGCCAGTTTCAACTTATTAGTGTAACGAGTGGTTTTACGAGGTTGAGTATGAAGACTAAATATATTTGTCGTGGCATTATTAGTCTGTATGTAAGCTTTCATAACAATCGGACAATGTGGTCAACAAATTTACATGTAAAAATTTGCAGGTGGGGGGGGGGAAGGAAAAAGAGCCAAAGCCATAAGCCATCAGGGTCAATTGTTAGAAACAAAAACAACAAGACTGCTCGTACCAAGACTGCTCGCGACTGCCTTTTAAGGTTTATGGAGCAGCAGTAATAACATAAAAAAATTAAATGAATTAAAACAACAAGACTGCTCGCGACTGCCTTTTAAGGTTTATGGAGCAGCAGTAATAACATAAAAAAATTAAATGAATTAAAAAAAATGAAAAAAAAAAATTCTAAAATTTGAATTTTTTTAAATGAAAATCATCCCCACACGCCATATAAAGTACAAAAAGAGAGATTTCGTTCCTTGTAACAAATCAATTATGGCAAATAAGCTTCGTTCAACCAATTTGGAACGATTTATAAGACGGATTAAATCTCCGCTTACGCGTTAATAGCGCGAATTATATCGCGAATTATATCGCGCGTTAATTGTCCCAAATTGGTCAAAATGGCCAAAATGGCAATCTTTAAACCCTCATAACTTTACGTAAAATGATCACAGGTGAAATATCGTTTCAAATTTAAGCTCAGGACAACAATACCTTTTGAATGGTAAAAAAAATCCCGTCAAAAATGGCTAGTTAAAAAGTCGAAATTTGTCTGATGAAAAAAAAAACCCACCCCGAGCACAAATATTCCGTTACTTTCGTAGCGAAAGTCGGAACAATAAGTACCCGAGAAAAATCTATCTTCGCTTCGGCACTTACCCTTCGTAAAGTATGATATAAAATGGAGATGTGGGGGATCGAACCCCAGACCTTCCGCATGCGAAGCGGACGCTCTACCACTGAGCTACATCCCCGTTGATTTGGGGGACTGCACCAAAATCGAAAACTGAATGGTATGAATGGTGTATCTCTGCTGTGATATAGTTTTGGTGAATGACAAGGACAAGGATAGGTCTGGTCTTCTCTTTTATACAACCCAAAAATGATCTTTCTGCTATTTTGAAAATTGCGTCATAAATCTAATCTGATTGGTTGAAATTATTAACAAACTATCAACAGCAAAAGAAGGCTCTTTTTCCTTTTCCCCCACCTGCAAATTTTTTAGAGTAATTTTTCTATTCACATTGTCGGATTGTTAATATTCACATTGGAGGAAAAAAAACCAAAAGAAAATCAAGACTTTCATTATAATCGAAATGTTTGGTATATCAAAAAAAATCTGTTACTCAATTCTGATTGGCTGAAAATTACTAAAAATAAGTTTCCATCATTGGTCCCTCCATCATGAGGGACGCCCATGTGAAACAATTATTCGTTTACCGCCTAATTCAATTAATTACCCACCAAACTACTTTCCGTTTGTTTGTTTTGCTCTTTATCAAATTCACTGGATCTACTTAAAAATCTCCCCCCCCCCCCCTATTGTACCTACTAAAGAATCCCCACGCCCTATCTTGAAAGGGGGGGGGATTGTTAAGTAGATCCAATTCACTGTCTAGATCAGACCCGTCGGTTCTTTTACCTTTCCCCGGCTCTTTTTCCTTTTCCCCCCACCTCACTCAAACATGAATTTTATGGTCTAACGAGCGGTCTTACAAGGTTAATTATGGGGACCAAATATGTTTGTCATGGCCTAATTAACCTACCTGCCAATTTTCATGACAATCGGACAAAGTGAACAGTAACTTCAAATGAAAAAATTTGCTGATGGGGGGGGGGGAAGGAAAAAGAGCCCTCCCCCCACCTGTAAAATTTTACAAATGAAAAATTTGTTCACATTATTCGATTGTTATCAAAATTGGCATACGGACTAATTAGGATGTGCCAAACATATTTGGTCTTCATAATTAACCTTGTAAAACCACTCGTTACATAATAAAATTGATGCTCGTGTGAGGTGGGGGAAAAAGGAAAAAGAGCTGACCCGTCTCTTAGGAAATTAGACGAAAATCAAATTAGACGTGACCAAAAAAAAGATTTTAGACGTCGATGCAAAACTAATAAAATATGGGAAATTAGACGCAACTGTATTGTTAACGTGTGTGAAATTTGTAAAAGACCAATTAACTTTCGCTGACTACAGCTAACTTTCGTTCGAGCTTTCTTAAATGGGGATCCGTTTTTCACATGTGGCAATTGTATAATTTATGCATTTCAGAATAGTTTTTATGTAATATGGATTAACGTTTTATAAATCATTCATAATAAATATTTTGGTATGCAAAGGGATTATAAACTCTTTTTATATTTGTGAAAATTTGTTTCAAGCATTAAAACTTTTGTTTGCCCTTTACTTTTTGTCCAAAATACTAGACTTGCATTTTATTGGAGACGTCAAATTTGCTTGTCGTTTAATTTCCTAATCTTTCTTCATTGTGTTGTCCTAATTTTTTGGGTTGTCCTAATTTTTTTTGCAAAAATTTCAGTCCTTGCGACAAGGAAGTGAAATAAAACACTTGTACAATGTGGGCTTTTTTCCCTATCCACCCACAGCTTTTTTCCCTATCCACCCACTGCTTTTTAATTTTTTGCGCTCAAGAATCAAAATTTACATTACGAGGCCAAACTGTGCACTGGATAGGAGCACAATTTTGTGTCTGTATGTTCCTGGATTCCAGAGACAAGTCTTTAAACATGAGAAAATTTCGTCGAAACAAGGAAAGTAAAGAACAAAAGAAGAACAAAGGGAGCATTCTTGTTGCGGAATCCGCTTACAATGCACAAAATGCACAGTTGGGCCTCGTAATGTATCATTTTAAAATTGTAACCCCAAAAAAACAATTTCGGCTTTCTCGGGTTGACCAAAAGTGCTAGTCATACAATTTCCATATATGGAAAAATGCTAGTCATACACTCTCCATGCAATTCCATACGTACAGAAAATTGCATGAAAGGTCACATGAATAGTATTAGTAGTATATGTGTGAGGCGATCAGGGGGGGGGGTGGGTGCGGACCCCCATGTTTTAACATAGGCTATAGAGTATCCGGTCCGCAGGCTATGTATTAAGATAGGTTATAGATTTTCCAATGTATTAGGATAGGGAATAGGTTTCTCAATGTATTAAGATACGAGGTTTCAGATGGTAAGTTTCAGAGAAATTTTTGGCGCCCGATCTTACCATGTTTTAAGATAGTGTTTAGATTTCCCATGTATTAAGATAGTGTATAGATATCCCTATGTATAAGGATTAGAAATTCCTTGTATAAATATAGTGAATAGATTTCCCAATGTATTAAGATAGGGAATGGTAAGGTTTCAGTGTGATGGTAAGAAAATAGTAAGAAAAACGGTATTTTTTGGATTTTGTGTGGAAATGTCTAGTTTTTTCGCAAAAATCTCGGCATGCGTTATGTAATTCTTGAGTGTTACATGTAGAATGTGCAATGAAGAGAATATGTTTATTGGTTCATGGTAATTCCATGGTAAGATGTGCAAAAATTTGGAAATGCTTATAAAAAAATTGATATTTTTTCAAAAAACTTCAAAACACGATATGATTTGATATAATTTGACTTAATAACTATTTTATTAGATGATCCTTTTTTTGGAACTGTACTCAATCTAGCTTAAACTATGCTGAAACCTACTGAAACCTTAAAAAATTTTCAAGTTTTCGGAAAAAATTGCAAAAATTTCAAGTTTTTGGAGAAAACTGCCAAAATTTCAAAGTTTTTGGAAAAATTTCAAGTTCTGAAAAAATTGCAAAAATTTCAAAGTTTTTGGAACAAACTGCAAATTTTTGGAAAGAACTGCAAAAATATCAAGATTTTACCCAGTTTTTTGTTGCTTCTGATCTAATTGAATAAAAAGTAAATACGTTTACAGTTTAAAATTAACCTCAAATTGTATTTCAATTGGCATCATGTTGAGACACTGATACAAAACTTTGAATAGACATATGGAATTTTCCAAATTTTTCTCACAAAAAATTGAAATACGATAAATTGAAGCATTATTTGAGTAACAAAGCGGGTTATATAATGCTCTCAACATTAACAAGAAAGCTCATAAAAGCTGAATCGAAATTGAAACTTGTGAAAGATAGTGAAAATAAC